CTCAAGAAACTTGAAAACTTCAATCAAAATAACCAATCAATCAATTACCACTCGTACCCACAGCGGGGGAAGGGAGAAAATAATCCGTGACCTCGGCACCAACGGTTATTTGCAAAGGCGTTTATTCGCATAGCCCTCGGTAAGAGAAAATAAGGGGAAAAATGTGACACCAACCGTGCCGCAACAACGCCACGTGTCAATCCGTTACATCGTGGGTGCCAGAGAAGTTAAAAAGGCACGAGTCGATGTTGCCACAAGCCTTCCACCACCAACGGCAGTTTCATCCGCTGCTCCAAAGACCTTGCACCTGCGGGAAGAGCGCAAAGCTAGGGCGGCTAGCCACCCTAGCCTTGCGCTCTTCCCGCAGGTGCAAGGTCTTTCTAGCCACCCTAGCAAGGCGTCGTGTGCAGGATCGCGTGCGCCGGCTAAACCAAGAACTTCCATGAAAAAATGTGAATGAATATGTGTGGTTGAAGGCAAGAAAAAAGGCACTATCTTCTGAAGCCCTTGCAGGAGCACGGCTCAGCGCATTGAGGGAGGGGGGTGGAGAAGTGAGGCTTGAAGTAGGTAGAAGGAGAAGGTTTGGAAGAATCTCACGGCCATGGCTGGTAGATAGAAAGCGGATAGGGGCCAATGGCAGGGCAACCTGAGTCGTAAGACTTGTGTGTGGCTGCAGGAGACATATCAAGTGGTCCTAGAGATTGAAAAAATGTGGGAGCACAGGACTGACTTCCGTCAAATGAGCAGTGAACGGAGCGCAGAGGCAGAACATTGTAAGCCAGTTGGCCACCATACCAGTCCCGACAGCACGGTGATCTTCTAAACGGAAAGAAACATTCACCGGCGGCTCCACTTTGAATCCTGACACCCTCAGCAGACAGTGGGAGACAACAAGCGCCCCACAGGTGCTCTGCCCTCCCTCTACTACCGGGGCTTGCAACAAGTTGTGGCAAACATCTCGGGTCTTCTCACCCCTGAAGAAAAAAGCCGATCAGGCTTCAAAGCGTCGGGTTTCTTAATATAAATATTGGCTGGAGTTTTTCTTGTTTTTTTTTCCTCATTTTTCTGTTATCCCAACCAAGCAGACCTCACCTTTGAAATATAACAGATATTTGTGCTGCACGCCCTAAACCCGGAGAGTGGAGCTCATTACTGCGCTTTCTAGCCTGTCTGCATTCCTTGGGGCGTAGAAAGAACGCAAAAGTTCAGGTATGAGTGACTTGAGCCTGGGTAAAAGCTCGTGTCGTCAAGCTTTTCGCAGAATGGACTGGCCGAACACAATGACGGGTGAGAAACCACCGAAATTGCTACCGCGTGTCAAACCTGACTGTGAATGGAAAGGAGTTTGAGTAAGAAAAAAAATACAAAAAACGGCTCTGCTATGTTGTGTTGATAATGAGTCCTGAACTGCAGGCGTGCTGGCAAAATGTTTAGAAGCTCCTCATGTTCTCAGGGGGTCACAAAAATGTCGGACCTCATAATAGTTTGAAGGAATTTGTTTTTGCCAGTGATTAAGCGTCGCACACGGCAGGAGCCGTGTGTTAAATCCTGCCCCCTTCCTCCTTGGAATCCATTCGGAAAGCGTTCAACATATCACATGGCAGGAAATGATATAAAAGCTGATAGCATGTAAGTTCACTACATTTACACAACTTCAAACTCGTCGAGATGTAAACTTTTTTAGCGCGAAACAATCATTGAAAGGGCATTCACAAGCACCCGTCTCGTCGCTCTCGTTCTTCTGAATATTTTGTTTTGCACTCCGTACTTTTCAGATCGCCACATTTATTCATGCAAAAATGGTAGTGGCGTCGGAGAACAAGCAGTTCAATGCAGGGGCGCTCCACAATTGTGAATTACAGTAGATACACAATAATGAAGTAACGAATAATTATTAAGTTTTCTCTCTCGTTATTATATCAATCCGATATACGTTCTGCTCTGAGAAAATATCATAAAAGTTTTGCATCATGCATTTAACTTTGTCATAGTCTGCGAACGGTGTACTCTATAAACGCATTACCTATAAGCATTAAAGTCGAAGCCAGTGTGATGCATAAAATCACTATAACAACACTAAAATTACTGTTTTTTTAGAAACTCCTAACGTCTTCTTAAAAATTCCAACTTCAATATGTGGAATCACGCTGACGCAAACGGCATTAGCTTCATGACACTGCAAACAAATTTACAAATAGCTGTGCACCTTGGAAGTACGCAGTGTACATTATCTGCTTAGTCATGCTAGCATTTTAATGTTGATATCTAATCTCAGTGGTTCATTTTATTTTCATTCCGGGCCTTTAAATTAGGGTTATCACTTTTATTCGAAAGTATGAGCAAGTGTTTTTTATCAAGGACCTTCACTGGAATGAGGTCCAAGGGTGCGGGGAATTAGACAGATTTACAATTTGGAAAATCAATTATGTGGCTTTACAAGCCGGCACATACACGATAACAAGGCACGCCATAAAATGAGACTACATATTTGTAACCATAGGCCAGCAAAATAAAAAGACGCCCTCCTTAAATAACTCTTTTTTTTTTCGCATGGGACTCACAAGGACCAAGACTGACCAAAACTTTGCTGAACCGAACTAGGAACTCGCTCGAACTCAGACTCATCATGGTAAGACTCAGCCGGGCTCACTCGGACTGAGGCTTACCTAATTATAACACAGCCGGACTCACTCAGACTCTGACTCACTTCTCAATCTGAGTCTTTCAATTCCTCTAATAGACTCATCAGTGAGTTTGCTGACTTATAGTCAGAATTAACACATCTCTCGTTCACGTCACGCGTTGATGAAGCGCACCTTTTGTGTGCGCTAGCGATGGTGAAATATGGGAGAATGAGGAAGGCTGGTTTCTATGCCCACATGACGATAATAGGGATGTTATTTACCGATCTACACAAAAAGAAATTGACGAAAAACACGAATGCAGGGTAGGAACGAGCAAAGACAAGTGCTGGACCTAAAACTAAATGTTATTATAGAAAGCACCTACAAAAACGTACGAGAAGCACATGCTTAAAAAGGCTATGTAAACTCCAGTTGCACAATTAACCGTACATTTTTTTCCCAACAAATGTTTCAATGTGGTGATATGAAGCAGCCGATATCCATGGAACACCAAAATATCGACGCCAAGTTTATCTGTGAGGAAAGCTGTGGGATCAATCACACATGACACTTCTCTCTGTTTTTATTTCGAAAACTTCACGAGTTTCGCGTTCAATCTTTTTTTTTTCCTTTGACAATGGCATACAATGATTTGAAAGAAATTACTTTCTCATGCGACCATGTCTACAGAGATCAGACGGGTCGAGGCCTAGTGACAACTATAGGCAGTGTGAACATCCTTCAGGCACAAAACTGACCTCTTCGCTAGTCTCTGCGTCCCCAATATATCAGTGTCATCAGCAAATGAAGAAATAGAATGAACGTGAAAATTTCGAAGCCTTAAAAATACAAAAAAGGGGCAAAGCGCGACGCATGTATAATTCATCCTTCTTTACAGCTAGATAAGTAATTCACATTGCTAGATAGCGGGTGCCCGTTGCGTTGATCATGGAAGTGTGGTGTTTGAACAATTTTGACACGTTTCTTGCCTTTGTAGTGATAGGTGATAGGCTTCAGCATATTTTCATGAGTGCCCTTCTGGTACATGGGTTTGTGGACTTTCCGCCATAAATATTTCGCTCGATGTCCTGTAAGGTTGAGCTCCTTAGTTTGTTCTTCCACAAATATTATAAACCAACTCGCCGAGCAAGCTACGTATGTGTTGTCCTTTTTGAAACAAGGTTGTGACAAATCGGCATCTATAGTTAGTGGATTTAGGTCCGAGATAATAACTGAAGGAAACGCAGATTACTTATTTTGATAGCGTGCCGTGGAGCATCGCACGGTGTGCAGGACAAAGCACGTTGAAAATAGAAGCCCACGCTTCAGTGTTTTCTCCGCATTCATATTCTGTGCAATACCTCAGTTTACACAAACCTAATTTATGGTGATCACCATTTCGTCCAATATTCTTGATCTTGCTCAACCTGCCGATACAATGGTGATCGTTTCTGTTTGTTGAAACATTTCCGATGGAGGCGGAAATGTTGTAGGCCCGTGTGCTCAGATTTGGGTGCACGTTAAAGAACCCCAGGTGGTCGAAATTTGCGGAGCCCTCCACTACGGCGTCTCTCATAATCAAATGGTGGTTTTGGGACGTTAAACCCCACATATCAATCAATCTGTTTGATGAAACATTTCATGTAACAATGTTACTTTTCTTTGTTCAATAAAGGCCATGGTCGTGGTCCAGTTCCATAACTATTTTGTGTTGTAAATATGCCCTAAACAGCTAGCCCTTCCTCAGTTATAACAATATCTTCCATACACATCGCACTTCTACCTTGCCTGTCCCCAGTTCTGGCCCCCATCCTTCGCTTTAAACGGCCTTTGTTTTCTGACTCGCTTGCGCAGTCATAATTATGAATATTCCAGTACCGACTTTCCACACCTTTCATCATTGTTCAAAACCCGCCTCACTTACAAATTCTCGTCAGATAGAATATGTCGACAGTCCTCGCCAAACACCACCGTTGGAGCTGTCACTCACTGGGATTCGCGGAAATATAGTGAACGCAAAACTATCTTAAAATTCACGTTTAAATCTAATCCAACATTAATAGGAGCAGTCAACAAGTTGTTTTTATAGTCCACTTAGTTAACTCGAAATGGCAGGTGAAGAAATCTCGATGTGTTCTCGAAGTAGACAGAATTAAGGCCAGACTGGTGACAGAAGGTGCAAAATAAACGTAGGTAGGCGGGAAGAAAAAAAACCTTATTTAAAGGGCTCGCCAACTAATGGCGCGCCGTTCGGTTGGCGGCGGCGGCCTAGCAAAATTTGTCGGCGGCGGCGCGCCGACGCCTCGGCGCACACATCTAGTTCTGTGATGACACTACGAAAACCTTTCTCTCCTCTTTTTGTTTGGCGTCAATAATAATGGCGCTAAGCAGGAGCGTCAGCAGTTTAGTAGGGGCGCGGGAGCGGCAAAAATGTCCCGTCCCGGGCGACTACGTTGCGTCCATGTGCGTGCGCGATGCCGTGGAGCAGTCGAATGGCAAGTTCCCCAGCTTCCGTGAGCCTCGCGAGATCGGCAACTTCTCGCTTGTGGGTGAGCAGCGCGACTATGAGGACGGTGCGGCGCAGATGAAGTACCTGCGCATGCCGAACCAGCGGCACCGACTCATGTGGGACCTGAACCGTGGCTACGAAGTGGCAGTGCGCAGGGATCGCTCGGTGAACGAGAGGCTGGACAACCTGCTAAGATGGATAATCCGCAACAAAAACAAGTTCTTGCTGAGCTCCGCCGCGAGGCCACCGGGCGAGCCGACCCCCGAAACCCAAAGGCAAGGTGCATAGTCAAGGTGCATAGCCTCGTCCTACCCTAGCCGCCGTTCTAGGTCTCTATGGTGCAACTGCTAGTCTGAATGTCGCTTCGCGATGACAAAGTTATGAGGGCACTGTTTGAAACACTGGCGCTTTGGACATCTGGCTTTTGGTAGGCTGTTTTCGAAATAAATTAGGTGGTAGAACATTTTCGCTTAACTAGTTGGAACAGCGGAGACGACATCATAGATGGCTCTTTGAACATCGAAAATGATTGCTATTTGTCTGCGCCGATTTGTAAAAAACTGCTGTTGGAGGAGTAATCGCATGTGCCCTACGCAATATTTCCGAAATCATCATGGGCCTCGATTTGATGTCACCTTGCCTGTGGCGCTGATTTTCACTTCCCTTACTTTTTTTTTTATGCTTCGACCTTCTGTTTGAGGAAGAAAGGTTGGTTTACGACCACTGGGCAGCCGTGGTCATAGGTAAAAAGTTTTCATATTTCCGGTAGGGACCCGACTTCCTTGCCATATTTCTCTCTCACACACACACACACACACATGAGGTTATGATGAGACTTATTTATTTATTTAGTCAATACTGCCGACTTTTACGCGAAGTCGTAGGCAGGAGTGGGTATATATATATATATATATATATATATATATATATATATATATATATATATATATATATATATATATATATATATATATATATATATATATATATATACCAAAAACAAAAGTGATGCTGGGTCCGGGAAATATTATTCGTATAGGAAAGAAGACGCACGTACGAAGTTATTTTATTTGACGTTTCGGCCGTGGGTCCGGCCTTCATCAGAATCTTTCATCAGTTTCTGATGAAGGCCGGACCCACGGCCGAAACGTCAAATAAAATAACTTCGTACGTGCGTCTTCTTTCCTATACGAATATATATATATATATATATATATATATATATATATATATATATATATAGTAAAACTAGTGTTTTTTCGCACGTTTGTCGACCTCTTTTTCTACCGTATATATACACACACACACACACACACACACACACACACACACACACACACACACACACACACATATATATATATATATATATATATATATATATATATATATATATATATATATATATATATGAAATATAACAGACAATAATGCCAAGGAAGATATAAGGGAAATTATTAGGCCAGTTGTAATGTAGATGAGAAAAAAGAAAAGTGGGTGAAAAGATAACTTGCCGTGGGCAGGATCCTGCCCACGGCAAGTTATCTTTTAACCCACTTTTCTTTCTTCTCGTCTACATTACGCCCCGCCGCGGTGGTCTAGTGGCTAAGGTACTCGGCTGCTGACCCGCAGGTCGCGGGTTCGATTCCCGGCTGCGGCGGCTGCATTTCTGATGGAGGCGGAAATGTTGTAGGCCCGTGTACTCAGATTTGGGTGCACGTTAAAGAACCCCAGGTGGTCAAAATTTCCGGAGCCCTCCACTACGGCGTCTCTCATAATCAAATGGTGGTTTTGGGACGTTAAACCCCACAAATCAATCAATCAATCTCGTCTACATTACAACTGGCCTAATAACTTCCCTTATATCTTCCTTGGCATTATTGTCTGTTATATTTCATTAATATTGTGTAAAAACACGAAAAAAAACGAGCCCTCAAGTATACACTTGTTTCCCTTATTCGTTTACGAGGGTCTCGTACTGGCAGACTTGGTGCCTTTAGGTTGCATATGAGGGACTACTGGTCAGCTGCCAGTTAGTAATAAGTTCACGTGCTACGTGACGCCAAACAGGCTCATAAAGAGTGTGCCACACTCGCCGCCATGGCTACTAGTGGCGCTGACTGACACTTCCACGTTTAATTGGCATAGATACCCAATAAAGTGGCTGGGGGATAGCTGTCGTGGTAGCTCAGTGGTAGAGCATCGAACGCGTCATTCGAAAGTCGCAGGTTGGAATCCTGCCCACGGCAAGTTATCTTTTCACCCACTTTCCTTTCTTCTTATTTATATTACAATTGGCCTAATAACTTCCCTTATATCTTCCTTGGCATTATTGTCTGTTATATTTCATTAATATTGTGTAAAAACACGAAAAAAAACGAGCCCTCAAGTATACACTTGTTTCCTTATTCGTTTACGAGGGTCTCGTACTGGCAGACTTGGTGCCTTTAGGTTGCATACGAGGGACTACTGGTCAGCTGCCAGTTAGTAATAAGTTCACGTGCTACGTGACGCCAAACAGGCTCATAAAGAGTGTGCCACACTCGCCGCCATGGCTACTAGTGGCGCTGACTGACACTTCCACGTTTAATTGGCATAGATACCCAATAAAGTGGCTGGGGGATAGCTGTCGTGGTAGCTCAGTGGTAGAGCATCGAACGCGTCATTCGAAAGTCGCAGGTTGGAATCCTGCCCACGGCAAGTTATCTTTTCACCCACTTTCCTTTCTTCTTATTTATATTACAATTGGCCTAATAACTTCCCCTATACCTTCCTTGGCATTATTGTCGGTTAGATTTCATTAATATTGTGTAAAAACACGAAAAAAAGCGAGCCCTTAAGTATACACTAGTTTCTCTTATATATATATTTTTTATTGATATGATATATAAGGAGATGTTGGCGCACCATTATGGCGCCGGCTACTCCTTAGCCGTTAATTGAAACTTGAACACGTATCTTGAAGCAAAACATACAAAGCAGTGCATGGAAAATAGAAAACTCAGGCACAGATATGCAAAGACACACTTATACGTACATATCACAATGGTAAGTAAATGTTTGAAAGTCATTGTAAGAAGTCTCTGGAAACAACAAAACACAAACAACAAACACAAAACACAACAACAAAACAATAAAGCACACGTCTGGTCTTTATAAAGATGCATTCGCTCGTATGTACATAATAGTAGACACGTCATTCATTTCAAAACACACACGTGATGGGTGTCACATGATACTGTATATAATAAGTACATGTGTTACAAATGAAAGCTTGTTCTTTGTTAATACTTGTCAGCAATCCCGCTGTCTTGTAAAAAACGCGTTAATGCTTTTAAAGCGTGGGACTGTAAAACTCCAGTTGGCCACGGGCCCAGAAGTTTTTTCATGCTAAATGGTCTGTGGTCCAATGCGAACAGTTCACTTTTAAGACGGCGTCTTGGCGTGTCATGATGTGGACAGTGTATGAGAAGGTGACATACGTCTTCATTTATAAATCCACAATCGCATTTGGGAGTTTCAGCTCTGCCGATTCTGTGCAAAAAATGTTTTATGTATGCGGTGCCTAGCCTCAATCGGTGAATTAGAGTTTCCATCCTTCTATCTAATACCAGCGTAATTTTGAATTCAATAAATGGATCGATGTGGTATAAATCGCAGCTCTTTGTACTTTGGTCAAACCAAGCAGTTTTGCTCATTCTGAAAGTTGTATTCTTTATAATACTACGCAATTCATTTTTCGATATCGGTAAAGAAACAGTAACGTCTTTACGATGTGCTTGTCGTGCTGCTTCATCGGCAGCTGTGTTTCCAGGAATGTTGCAGTGGCCAGGTATCCACTGGAATTTGATCTCATGTTGCGCCTTCTTTGCTTTAGTGAGCTCCTTCAGCGTTTCGTATGTCATACTATCACTTATTACTGTCCTGTTTGTACTGGAGAGTGATCCTAATGCAGCCTGTGAGTCACTGAAAAGTACCCATTTTTTAGCGTCTGCTACCGAGTTTATAAACTTTAGAGCATACAGAATAGCGAAGAGCTCAGATGTTGTAGATGACGTCGTGCAGCATAATTTAAACGATTCCTGAATATTGAGCTGTGGTATGATAAATGCCGATGTTGAAGACGTTGTAGTACTTGAGCCATCTGTGTAAATATGTATGTACCCTGGATACCGCATGTGTATCTGATAAAGCGCTAGTTGTTGAGCAGCTTGGATGAACATGTCTCTCTTTCTAATAATGCCATCCACTGAGAATTCAATGCTTGGTATAGCAAGCACCCATGGAGGATAGTTCATTTCAGAGTTCCAAAATTCATGTCCGGGTAATATATGTACATTACTCTGTACTTCGTTATGAGCATTGCTTTTATCTCTTAGTAAAATCTCCAGCGCCAATGGGTGGTCCCTGTGTTGCCTCTGTAAGCGAAAAAAATGGCGGCATGTTTCAATTGTTCTCATGACTGGAAAGGGTGGTTGTCGAGTCTCTGCTATGACAAGGCTGCTGGAAGTCGCTCGTGGAACACCTATGCAGACGCGCAGTCCCCTAGCTAATAGTCTTTGAAGTCGCTCCTCTGAAGTGCGGGAAAGGCCGTGTAACACTGCTGCAGAATATGCAACTTTTTGTCGTATTAAAGCATTGTGAACAGCGAGCATGGATGATACAGATCCGCCCCATGATGTCCCAGCAATTCTGCGGAGTATATTCACTAGCGTATTCACCTCGTTTTCGAGTTTCTTTATGTGAGGTGCCCATGATAGCTGCCTATCAAGTATTACTCCGAGAAATCGATGCTGTGTCACAATCATTAGTGGTTCTTCTTCTAAATTGAGATTGAAGTTCTTTAACTTCTTACGGGTGAAGGGCAATACAGCTGTCTTTGTGTGCGATAGAATCATTCCTCTTTCTTTTAAAAAGTTGTTGATAATATTTATTCCGTCTTGCAATGCAATCTGAATTAACCGTATGTCCGTGCCAGATGCCCAAATGCACACATCATCTGCATATAAGGAGTATTTCAACCTGGAAGGCAGTCTTTTAGCTAAATCAGCCATAACACAGTTGAAAAGAAAAGGGCTGAGTACGCTTCCTTGTGGCACTCCCTGTCTGACGTCGTGTTCTGCACTTTTTCCTTCGCTCGTCTGAATGAATATTTTACGACCTGATAAAAATTTGGATACCCACCGCAAAGACCTGCCGGACAGTCCGTGTTCCAACATACTCAGCAAAACATGAGTGTGACTGACTGTGTCAAATGCCCTTTTGATGTCCAAGA